AAATGTCAGCCTTCCTGCTCCTCTGATGCTGCTTGGCCTGCTGTGTTCATCCAGCTCTACACCTTGTTATCTCAGATTCTGCGGCATCTGCAGTTCTTACTATCTCTCCAACACCCTGGTAAATTTCCTCTGCACCCTCTCCAGTGCAATCATATCTTTCCTATAGTGTGACAGAAAGAACAGCACACATGTTCCAACTATGGCCTAAATAATGGCCTGCATACAGCTCAATTGTAAATTCTTGTTCTTGTATTCATTGCCTCAATGAATAAAGACAAGCATCCCATATGCCTTTTTCAACACCTTATCCATCTGTGCAGTTGCCTCCAGGGATCTATGGACATCTACGTAGGGTCCCCCTAATCCTCTGTACTGCCTAGGGTCCTATCATTCATTGTGTACTCCCTTGCCTTGTTATTCCTCTCAAAATGCATCACCTCTTATTTCGGAACTAAATTTTATTTGCCACTATCTGCCCATCTGACCAGCCCATTCATATTGTCCTGAAGTCTAAGGCTCTCCTCCTCATGTTATCTGTGAACTTACTGATCAAACCTCCTACATTCATATCTAGATCATTAATGTACACTACACTCAGAAAAAAATTGCCAGTGGACACTAGCTTCCAGTCACAAAAACAGCTTCTGCCTCATACCACTATATCAGTCTTGGATACAATTTACCAAATTGCCCTGAATTGCCATGGGGTCTTATCTTCTTGAACCATCTCCTACGTGTTTTCCATAATAGCAACTTCAAATTTCAAGGGTTTTCATAAAGATGTGAGGAAAAATAGACATTGTCCTTATAAAGGTCTGGACCAAGGACTATGTCTCACTCTCCTATGTTTAAGACCTAAGTGTGGCTGGATTTCTTTGCACTGTTCTTTCTGGCCCCTGGATGCAAACATGCAGCATCGTTGATATTTCCTTGCAAATGTTCAACAGCTACACACCAAACCTCTTCCTCCAGTTCCACATTGTCTTCCAACGCACTAAGGTTTTCATTTTCTTCTGACACATTATGCTATGCCATGTGAATTAAATTGTCTTTTCCAAAATGATAGAATTAATTGCTTGGTTGTCTGAGATGAGGTGACAAATTGCTCTGGCAATCATGTCTGATGATTTTGGCTGTAGGGCCGTGGAGGCAATACTTCTGTATTGTAATACTGTTGTAATACTTCTAAATAAGTTGGGAAACTGCTAGTCTGCCATAATGTCATATTTTGCCAATGTCTGCAAGCTGTGGATTTATTTTATTCTCTGCAAATTTACTCTGTCTCAGAACACAAGCTGAAACTTAACTGAATCCCAAAATATATTACACAGAAAAAAATCATCAAACATCCTGTAATATGGGAATGTAAATGTTGTGAGTTTTCTCCATGTGTTCTCCCCATTGAGTACAATAACTTTGTCCATCTGGCATTTCTCTTAAGGCTCTATCTAGGTTATAGTAAGCATGTAAAACATTGAGCAGGTAAACAATTAATTGCTATCTGTTGATCTTGCTATTCATGTATTGAAGTTAAATTTTAAAACAGATTACAGTAGATAGAGTGCTGCAGGAAACGTAGGTTTTTTTGGAAAGGCATTAGTAATATTTGATAATATTATGAAAGATGTTGCTTCGGTTGTTCCTATAGATTTACCCACTACTCCATTTCGTTTTTATGAGAATAATTTATATGACAGAGCTGAAAGAAATGTATTGATATTTTAATCTTAGCAAGTACACCTGTTAACATGTAAATGGTTAACAGATCTAATTTAAATAGTTTAAACATGTACTTTTTAAAACAATATGTACATCTCTAGGTTAGAGTGGCTGGTCATCGAATAGCCTGAAACAATTCCTGGTGAAACACATTGTGGGGTTGTTAGACTGGAGTTCAGAGTTTCTGTCATTTACCCAACATGAACCAAACACTGGCTGCTCAAACTGCAGAATGGTGAAGATTTACTGCTACTGAAATAGGACATGAGCCAATTATCTGGTTATTAAAATTTCACTTTAATATTTTAAATGACACCTGTTCTTTGTCCATTTAAATAGAGCATGTCTGTGAGAACAGATGCTCCTGTGCAGTTGTATTAAAAAAAATCACTGCGAGATGTTTCTTTTATAGTCAACGAAACACTGAGGCAGAACAGAATATGTTGTTCATTGGTTTGTGGTCCATTTAAATATAGGTTTAAGATGGGCACATCAACAATATTACTCCCATTGGATTATACATGGCCCAAATCTGGTTATTTCAGATTCAAGCATTAGACTCCTCATGTATGTAAACGTAACCAATCAGATTTGAAGATCCTTCATTCTTCTGAGTTTTGAAGTTGAAAATATCTGTCATTCCTAATTCTTGCAACTTCCCTACTTTCCCAAACCCACCCTCAACCCTGATGCTTCATTTATCTCACCCCTTTCTGACCCTGCATTTCCTTCCAATTCTCAGCCTTCTCTCTATTGTTACACCATTTCCTCAATACCTTTACAGAAGTGACATGTTTCTCCAAGAATTAAGGTTAGCATATACCAGCTGTTTCAATTGGCCTAACCAATTAGATCCATTCACCCTTGTTTCTTCACAGTTCTGCAATTATTTCCTTTTAAACTATAATTGACTTTCTTTGGAAGTTACTAATGAATCTGGATGTACAATTTTTTTAGGCAGTGCACTCCAGACCATTAGAATTCTTCATAAACAAGATTTGCTCTGTGTAATGTCTGATCTTGTTTCTGCCAATGATCTTAAATTTGTTTTTGCTGATTACCAACCCTTCTGTTGCTGGAAGCAGTTTCTACTTGTCTCTCTATAAAATTTAAAAATGCCTCATCATTTGGAACATCTCCATCATATTCACTTCTCAATCATTTTGACTGTCAAGAGCTTTGGTATATCTTAAGGATACAAAAAAGTGATATGTAAATGCAAGTTTTTTTTCTTAAACCCTAGAGTTTTGAAAATGGAGGAGTTTTATCCTGAAACATATCGCATGGATGTGAAAAGTGAACGCCTGGCATTCTTTGAAATTATGGAAGGTACTTTATCTTACCAATGATCCAGAAAATTATTTTTTCCTTCCTCCTGTGCCTACATCCCAATCAGGTAAGCATCAACTTTCATTTTGATGCTATCGTTGATTTGGGATCACTGAATGATTGGACTTCCGATTTTCTGTTTTTCTTTTTGCAAATGTTCTAACTGAGTATTGGTCCTCATTGGAACAATTCAGTAGGGCACACAAATACGAGTTAGTTATTCAGCTGCTTGAGCCTGTTCAGCCTTTCAATGAGATTGTGGCTTTTCTCCTTATTCGTCCATGGGATGTAGGTGTCGCTGTCTGGGCCAGCATTTATTACCCATCCCAAAATGCCCTTGAGAAGGTGGTGGTGAGCTGCCTTCCTTAACCACTGGATCTCATATGGTTATAAGTACATCCCCATTGTGACCTGGATCTTAACTTCAAACACCTACCATAGTTCTGTATCATGTAATGTGCTTGGCTAGCATATGTATTGATTTCAGATTTAAAACTATTAATTGAGCTAGCAGCTGCAGCGTTTTATTGGCAAGTTCTGTCTTTTGTGTGCAGAAATGTTTTAAAATTTTACTCCTGAATAGCTTGACCCTGAAATTAAGTTGGTTTTCCCATTGCCTTAGACTCCTGCACCAGCAGAAGATAGGTCTCTGTGTCTCCACTATCTAGTCTAACCTATGTTATTTCTCAACAAAGCTTAAAACTTCGAGCCCTGTTAACATTGTGATGAAAGCACTGGTTAACCTTTAATATACAGTGTGTTCCACCTGTTTGAACATTTTCAACTTGAACTCTAGACTTCTGCCTATAATTCTCCTCCCTCTCCCTCCAACCACGCACTGTTTTCTTGCATTTGGCCTAACATATTGTTCATGAGTTTTATTGTTTAGTAATCCCTGGGGGAAGTGATGACACTACTACAAACTGAAACTAAACTTCTGCAATGAGTTAAGACCCGCCCCAGTTTCTCTATTTCCTGTGAAGCTACTTTTCCCTGCTTGGTACTTTCCTCCGTGTTACGACCATCATGTCCAGTATTATTCTACACTACCAGGTTATTTAATGGAGTTTTTTGACCCTTGTTTCATCATTTTTCTTTATCTGCCTCGTTTATCACCATACATCACTAGGGAATTCCCAGTACCTCAAATGCTGCCCAGCATTCCAACCCACTGCATTCCAACCCATGGCATTACAATCCACTGCATTCCAACTGTCTGCATTCTAATCTGCTGCATTTCAACTCACTGTATTCCAATTCGCTGCATTCAGACCAGCTGCATTGCAACCCATCCCATTGCAACCCATCCCATTGCGACCCACCCCATTCCAAATCCTGTATTCCAATCCGCTGCATTACAACTTACTGTATTATAACCTCTTTATAACCTGCAACTTCTCCTGCATTGGAATTTGCTGTGGAACTGCCTTACAACTGCTGATAATCCACTTCAAAGCATTGGAACAACACAGATGAATCTGTCTATTCAGCTCCTAATAGGATTACGTAGAAAGAGAAAGAGAGAAAATAGAGACTGAATTATCCAGCTGTTTGCCAATTGGGAATGATTTAGGTGCTAGTAGCTATGTTGCTAGAGTTCATCAACATGTTCATTAATTTGCATTTATCTTGCTTTCAGTCCTCACCTATCAAAAATGTTCATAACCCAGTCATGATATACGTTTTGTTTCCTGTGTTTCTCTTGGCACAGATGTACCGATTTGGATTTCAAAACCTGCTGGATCAAATTTGGGTAAAGGAATATTTCTCCTGAAAAGCCAGGAAGACTTCCTGGACTTCCGTGCAAAACTGGAAAGCATAGAGAAGGATACTTCGAGTAACATGTATTGTTATGGTTTCCCAAGCAACAGAATAATACAACGGTAATTAAGAGCTTTCTCAAAATAAAGCAGACTGCAATGTATGTATCCAGATCGAATGTCAAAGGAATTATAAAAAGCAGTAATTACAGGAGTTGTTGGAATAGTGTCATTCTTCTGTTTCTTTGGATGTTCTCTTGCAGGATTGCTCAATACGAATGTAGATATCAGCGTTAGCTAGTGGATAGTGCTCTTGCCTTTGAGTCAAATGGATGTGGGCAAGTCCAATTCCATAAACTGGAGCACAAAAATAGAGGTCGCCTCTACAGTGCAGCGCTAAAGAAATGCTGCACTGTCAGAAATGCAATCTTTTGGATGAAATGTTGAATTGGCTCCGTCTGCTCTCTCATGTGGACATAAAAGATCATTCAAAGAAGAGCACGGAAGTTAGGCCCAGTATACTTTGGCCAATATTTATCCCTGCACCAACATCGCTGATGCCAGCTGTGTTTCCTACATTACAACAGTGACTGCACACTGAAAGTTTGGAACATCCTAAGATTGTGAAAACCTACTACATAAATGTTAGAATCCCTGTAGTGTGGAAACAGGCCATTTGGCCCATCAAGTCCATAGCAACTCTCTAAAGAGCATAAAAACCAAAAGAACTGCGGATGCTGTAAATCAGGAACAAAAACAAAGTGGCCGAAAAAGATCAGCAGGTCTGGCAGCATCTGTGAAGGAGAAAACAGAGTTAACATTTTGGGTCCAGTGACCCTTCCTCAGAACTGATGGTGGCTGGGAAAACGTCTCTGAAGAGCATCCCTCCCAGACCCAGCCCCATACCCTATCCCTGTAACCCTGCATTTCCCATGCTAATTCACCTAGCCTGCACGTCCTTGGACATTATGAGCGACTTAGCATGACCAATCCAACTACCCTGCACATCTTTGGACTGTAGTAGGTAACCCACGCAGACACAAGGAGAATGTGTAAACTCCACATGGAGAGTCACCTGAGGCTGAAATCAAACCCAGGTCCCTGGTGCTGTGAGGCAGCAGTGCTAACCACTGAGCCACTGTGCCATCCTTATAAATCTTGCTTTTTTATTTTACTGTACCAGGTCTGGAATACTGACGAGGACATCAGATCTGAAAATATAGCTATTTGTTCTAATTTCCATCGCTAATTTGGAACCATAGAATCATATAATGCTGCAGTAAAGAAGATAATTCAGCCCATCCTGCTGATACAAACTCTTTGACACAGTTATCCAAATAACCTCTGCTCTTTACCCATTGCTGTTCCCTTCAACTAATTGTTTTGAAAGTTGCTTCCACCAATTCTTCATGCAGTACATTCCAAACCATGGCAACTTCTTATTTTAAATAATTGGGTTTCTCATGTTGCCTCTGGTTCTTTTGCCATCACCTTAAACGTGTGTTCTCTGGTTACTCATCCCCATTCCACTGTAAACATTTGTTTCTAATTTACCCTACCAAAGCCATCCATAATTTTGAATACCTCTATCAAATCTCCTCTTAACCATTTCTGCTCTAAGGAAACACAACTCAAGTTGTTTTCCCCCAGTAAACTGACTGCTACATCTCTTCTTTACTACCACTGGAATACTCTTTGCCTTTTGCTGTGGGTACCCACATCTACTCCAACGGCTCTTCCTCCCGCTCTGTCAACAACAGAAATATCATGATTTTCCAGCACGCCCACCACCCCCATGCCCCCTCAGTTCCAAAGGAGAGTGATTGGATTGGAAATGTTGTTTCCTCCACAGATGCTGCCAGACCTGTTCAGTTTCTCCAGCACTTTCTGTTTGCATTTCACGTCTTCTGCATCCTCGGCATTTGAGAATCAAGACATTTTTGTCAGGAGTTCAATAAGCATTCATTGTAGACAATGGTACTTTAAGTACAAGTGTAAAGAGTACATTTACAGTTTCATTGTACAGCAAATATTAAAGACACCACCCCTAAAGAATCAAAGGTTAGATGAGTTTAATTGTTCAGTATTTCATTTGAATTTTTAGACACATTTGTAGGTGTAAGGAAAATAGCAGAAAGAGGTGGCAAGGAAATCTTTGATTTTATGAAGGTGCATCCCTATAAGGAAAGACACACTGTGTAATTGTGGGTTTTCTCAAGTATTTTTGCAACTAAAATCATGGGAAACTGTACCTGTGGTATCCTATGATTTGCTTCCAGTGCAAAATTCCAGTGTGAAACATTCAGAAAATTAGCCCATGTATGGAGAGATGAAAAGACCATCATTGATCAAGATGAAATCAATCGAAGTGATATAGCAATCTGAAGCTCCCAGAATTCCCTTCAAAAAAATGCTCAAATGCCTATGCTTTTACCCAATCAGGTATTTACACAAACCTCTACTTCTGGAAGGTCGAAAGTTTGATATTCGCTCCTACCTCCTGATTGCCTGCACCTCACCTCATATGATCTTCTTTCGCCATGGTTATGTCAAATTGGCATGCAACAAATATGATCCATATTCTGATGACCTGACAAGTCACCTGACAAACCAGGTAAGTAGTACATTGGGAAAATACCATCCCTTGTAACTGTCTGAAATTATAAATCAAATATATTAGAGGGTCATGAAAAGATTGAAGCTGATAAGTTATTTTATCTTTTTGGTTCTTTCTAAAATCTCCTTATCCTACGTTACCAGTTATAGTACTGGATGAGTCTCAAGTCCCCAAATGATCAACTCACTGCTCCTTATGTTTATGGAAGTGAAGTGTTGGACTGCTTTCCAGTTCTACATTGTTTTGTTATTTTAAACAAAGATATAAGTTGTAATGACTGCAAAATCAAGACCCCATGTTAACAAGCTCATGTTTCATAATACAACATGAATATTCAGACAAATTACAATGCATCTTTCCTATATGATTATATTATTCCTTATCATTAAGTTCACGATTTTTGCGATAAGAATTCAGCTCCTGTGACTCACAATTCCAGTATATAATTATAACAAACAGTGGTCTGTCTAAAATGCTTGTACCAATTCCAGTTTTTGATCTCTACGTTCCATGTATACTAACATTAAATGAACACACATCAAACGATATATAATGCAGACTACATTATATACAGCAGGGAGCAAGAAGATCCACTGGAGTTTTCAATCTTTCCCAGTGATTCCGTTACCATAGTTATATGGTTTACTTAAGCTTTTCAATCACTTTATTACAATAAGTAGTGGTATTAACACTAAACTATTTATCCACAAACCCAGGTAAGGTTCTGGGAACCTGAGTTTGAATCCTGCCATGATGGAATTTGAATTCACTAAAAATTTGGAAGCCAGAGTCTATGACTATGAAACCATTGTCAATTGTCATAAAAACCAAAGTGGTTTACTAATGTCCTTTAGGGAAGGAAACTGCCTTCCTTGCACAGTTTGGCCTACATATGACACCAGGCACATAGCAATATGGTTGACCCTTCATTGCCCTCTGAGAAATTAGCAATGGGCAATAAATGTTGGCCTAGCCAACAATGACCACACCTGTGAATGAATAAAAAACGAGTGACCTTCCATTCCTTCAGTCCCTCAATTTTGCTGTAATCCTGTTTCAGAAAGCACCCTGCTCAGTAGAACTGAAAGCTGTTTCAACACATCATGTGCTGGTGCTACAAACAAGATGGGTAATGTAAACTCATGCTGCCACATCAGGGAGAATGAATACCATTCCTTATTCCATTATTGCTTTCAGAGACTGAACTATGTTATATTCCCACAAGTTATTACCTTTGGTCTTTGAAAGTAATTTAACATCACATCAGACCTCATCTGAAATGAAAAACATCAAGTCGTTGTTTTCAACCAGCCATGAAATAATCTAATAGTCCAGCACTGAAATACTACACTAGTACATTTACAGTCAAATCCCATTATGGCTGCAACTCTCCCTCTCTATTCTAAAGCCTCATTACATCTTTTGAAGAATCTGTATTTCTCCAATTCTAGCTGGGCATGCCTTTACCAGTCTAAGCCCTAAACTCTAGAATTTCCTTTATAAACGTCTTTACCTCTCGATCTCCTTTTTTTTCCAGGGTGTTCCTTAAAATTGACCAGCTTGGTGAGCTGACTGTGCAGTGCTTCCCTGGTGTCTTTGAAAAACAGCCTCTTTCCTCTTTTAAGATTTAAGGAATGCTACTTTTTTAGTCCTCCACACCTCATCAAATCTTCCAAGGGAACTCAATTTATTCTAATTTGAATTAAAGAGTTGCTTTTATATTGCACAAACAAGAGTTGATAATATTTAGTGTGGAGCTGGAAGAACAGAGCAGGCCAGGCAGCATCAGACGAGCAGGAAAGCTAACATTTCGGGTCAGGACCATTCTTCAGAAATCCCTGCTCCTCTGATGCTGCCTGGCCTGCTGTGTTCCTCCAGCTCCTCACTGTGTTATCTCTGACTCCAGCAATTGGCAGTTCTTACTACCTCTGAGTTGATAACATTTGTTGGATCTTTGAAATTGCCACTAAAATTTGGCTACTTTTTAAAATGCTATTCATAAAAAGAGTTACAAAAAAACATACGTTTGAAACTTATTTCCAAAGAAATTATGGCAGCAGACTTTACGACAGCGTATAGTTATAGATTTTGTGTGAGATCGTGACTTTTGCACTCCCTATTTCCAAGACTGTCTTCGAGTGGAGGACAATTATTATTTTCAATTTTTATTTTCAAATAAAAGTTTATGAAAAGAAAAATCAGATTATCACATGGATTTTGTTGTCAATGAAAATAGGATTTGTGATTTTCTACCGCTATTATTCATACATTGAGTTCTGAACCTCAGCCATCAGAGAGATGTTGCACAAAAACTCAAATTGGTGCCTATTTATATAACTTAATTTGCAGACGCCTAGAAAACCATCTCTGGCTCTTTCAGCTGAAGATAGAAACCTGCAGCAGAGATGGTGATCATTTAGCCCTTTGATCTCCTGTTTGAAGTTCTGTCCAAATCGTCTCCACTCCCCTGCACTTTTCCTCACAGCCCTGCAAATGTTTCCTTCTCATAGAGTCTGAGAGCTGTACAGCATGGAAACAGACACTTTGTTCCAACTCGTCTGCACAAACCAGACATCCCAATCTGACCTAGTCCTATTTGCCAGCATTTGGGCCATATCCTTCTAAACCCTTCCTATTCATATACCCATTTCAGGTGCCTTTTAAATGTTATAATTGTACCAGCCTCCTCCACTTCCGCTGGCAGCTCATTCCATACACGCACCACCCTCTGTATGAAAACATTGCCGCTTAGGTCCCTTTTAAATCTTTCCCCTCTCACCTTATACGTATGCCCTCTAGGTTTGGACTCCCCCACCCCAGGGAAAAGAACTTGGCTAGTCACCCTATCCATGCCTCTCATGATTTTATAAACCTCTATAAGGTCACCTCTCAGCCTCTGACACTCCAAGGAAAATAGCCCCAGCCTATTCAGCCTCTCCCTATGGCTCAAACTCTCCAACTCTGGCAACATCCTAATAAATCTTTTCTGAACCCTTTCAAGTTTCACAACATCTTTTCTATAGCAGGGGGGCCAGACTTGAACTCAGTATTCCAAAAGTGGCTGAACCAATGTCCTGTACAGCTGTGACATGGCCTCCCAACTCCTATACTCAATGCAGTGACCAATAAACGCAAGCACACCAAACGCCTTCTTTCCTATCCTATCTATTGTGACTCTACTTTCAATGAACTATGAACCTGCACTCCAAGGTCTCTTCATTCAGCAACCATCCCCAGGACCTTATCATTAAGTGTATAAGTCCTGCCCTGATTCACCTTTCCAAAACGCAGCACCTCACATTTATCTAAATTAAACTCCACCTGCCACTCCTCAGCCCATTGGCCCATCTGATCAAGATCCCGTTGTACTCTGAGATAACTTTCTTCACTGTCCACTACACCTACAATTTTGGTGTCATCTGCAAACGTACTAACCATACCTCCTACATTCATAATTCTCATGCATGTAACCAGTTCTGTTTTGAATGTTGACATTAAATCTAATCCCACTGTCCCTTCAGACAACACGTAGCCTCTGTAAATGTAATGGAAATAAACAACAGGTTATAAGACTAGGTGCTGTCTTGCAATCACTTGTTTTGCAATGTCGTGCCCGGTCAAAGTTTACTCTATGGAAAGATGTCGCAGGAGTTTTGTTTCTTGTTTGTTTATGTAGTCAGGCAGCACACAGGGATTTTATCTGCTCAAGTGGTGCCCTGCTGAATTTGATGGGAGTGTTCATTCACAATGTGTAAATAACCAGCAATGCCTGAGGGAGCTTTCTAAAACTACCCACCTTGGCAGCTGTTGATAATCTTTTCCAAAAGCATGCATTTCACACAGCTCATCGTATTTTATAGTATAGAGGTGAAGATCTCCAACTTTTCATGATTTATGGGATAGTTAAAGACAAGCCTGCATCTGCATAAATGTGCCTCGGAGGCACCTTGTCCTTTAAGCCAGGAGGCCCAGGTTCAAGTCCCACCTACTTCAGAGGTATTTGATAATATGCCTAAACAGGTTGATTAAAAATATCTGTAAATATTCCTCCATAACAGCTGTCAGAACATGAGTACCTTCAGACATAGAATTCAGGTGTGTTCGGGCAGAGTTGAAGAAACATTGGCTTTGAATCTTACCTCAGGTGTACATCAGGTTATAAGACTAGGTCACTGATGCTTGCATTGGATTTTTAAATGGTACAGTGTTGATGGCTCTCACCTAGATGTGTGAATGAGTAGTATTTGGAAGGTGCAAAATTGCAGGTCATTGAGAACCAAATGGAGCATAAATGTATCATTGACATTCAATTATTATGGGATATTTATCACACTAAAATGCCCTAGGGTAGAATCACAAGACTTTTATCAAGTGAAACAGTTTGACACCAAAACACTTAAGGAGATGTAATCGTAAAACTTGGTCAAAAAGGAAGCTTTTGAGGAGCATCTTATAAGTAGGAATGTGAGTTAAAGAGATGTTGAGGTTTGAGGAAGGAATTCCAGGTTGATGTCTAGAAAGCCAAAGTCATGTCTGTCAGTGGTGCAATGCAGGAAATGCACAAAGAGTCCTATGATGGGATCTGACAGGTAAGGGATTTCATGAGGGAGTTGCAAATTGAGAACATTGTAGGGATACGGGCTGCTGTTTGTGGATGGAAGGTTGGAAGACAAGTGGGGCTGGATTTTAAAGGCAGGTGGTGTCAACTGCTGGCCCATGCAGCCCTCACCCCAACTTCCCCAGAGGTAAAGCTGGTTCCAAATTGACTACTTCTAAAACGCTAGTCCCACAGTGATATCATGCTGAAAGTGTCCTGAACAAGCTGAGAGTGGTCCTATCCCTCTTAGTGAACAGGAACCTCTGACCTCTAGAACTGCAGACCAATTAGATTGGCTAAGAACTGTAGTAGTGAGTATTGTTGGAACTGCAAAGAACCCACGAAGATTGTCAGTGGCATTTGGATTCAGGTCTTTCCTAGGCATTTAGGGTGGAAATGAATCACACATCGGGGAAAGGATAGAATGGAACAAAAACAGAAATTGCTGGAGAAACTCAGCCGGTCTGGCAGGATCTGTGGAGAGAAAACAGAGTTAATGCTATGGGTTCAGGGCCAAATCGTTGACTCTGATTTCTTTCCATAGATGATCTCAGAGCTGATGAGTTTCTCCAGGAATTTCTGTTTTTGTTTCAGATTTCCAGCATCCACAATTCTTGGCTTTATTTTGTAGGATGGATGGGGATGGGCATTGGAGGGCAGGCAGAAACTTAGTTAAGTTGGGTAGCATCTTGGTGGGGGTGGAGGTGCCTTAGATACATTGAGGACACCCCCAAATGATGTGTCCCCTCCTGCCTTCCTGCCTTCTCAATTAAGTTATAAAACAAGAGATCTAACTCTAAACCATCTGCCATTGCCCAGCATTTCAGAATCCAGAGAATCCCTACAGTGTGAAAGCAGGCCATTTAGCCCATCGAGTCCACAGCAACCCTCTGAAGAGCATCCCACCCAGGATCACCTGTCCCTCCCTGTCCCCGTAACCCTGCATTTTCCATGGCTAATCCATCTAGCCTGCACATCCCTGAACACTATGGGCAATTTAGCATGGCCAATCCACCCTAACCTGCACATTTTGGACTGTGGGAAGAAACGGGAGCACCCGAAGGAAACCCACACAGACACGGGGAGAATCTGGAAACTCCACATGGACAGTCGCCCGAGGCTGGAATCGAAACCAGGTTGCTGGTGCTGTGAGGTAGCATTGCTAACCACTGAGTCACTGTGCTGCCCTTTTAGAATGGGGGAGATGGATTGAGGGCATTAGGTAGGCAAGAATGGGTCTCTTAAGGCCTTCAACCAACCTAAGGGTGGGTGGGTTGGTGAAAGTTTTACCCATCTCTATATCATAGAGGAGGAGAAGGATAGCAGTGGGCTAGTCACCCAACATATTTTATTTGCCTCACCCCCTCCTACCAAGCCTATTCAATGGGGGATGTGTGATCCAGCCCATGGGATGCTTATGATCTTCCAGCCCAAACTACTGAAAAGTGGGTCACATTGACTCTGTTTCTCTCCTTACTGGGGACTCATAGAATCATACAGCATGGAAACAGACCGTCTGGTCCAACCAGTCCATGCTGACCATAATCCCAAACTAAACTAGTCCCACCTGCTTGCTCCCAGCCCAAATCCCTCCAAACCTTTCCTATTTATGTACTTATCCATGTTATCTTTTTAATGTTGTAATTGTACCCACATCCACCACTTCCTCTGGAGGTTCTTTCCACACACGAAACACCCTCCGTGTCAAAGATTTTCCCCTCCTGTCTTTTTTAAATCTGTCTCCTCTCACCGTAAAAATGTGCCCCCTAGTCTTGAAATCCCCCAGCCTAGGGAAAAGAAAACTACCATTAACTGTATACCCCTCATTATTTTATAAACTTCTTTCAGGTCTCCTATCAACCTCTTACACTCCAGTCAAAAAAGTCCCAACATATCCAGCCTTTCTTCACAACTCAAACCTTCCATTCCAGGTGACACCCTGGTAAATCTCTTCTGAACCCTCTCCATCTTAATAATATCCTTCCAAGAACTGGACACAGTATTCCAGAAGAGGCCTCACCAATGTCCTGTACAACCTCAACACAAATTTCCAACTCATTTGTTAAAACTGTGCATAGATCCTGTAGGATTCTCAAGTTTAACATAGATCCCTACAGTGTGGAAACTGGCCTTTGACCGAACAAGTCCACACCTACACTTGGAGCATCCCACCTAGACCCATGCCCCTATAACCCACCTAATCTACACAGCCCTGGACAGTAGGCAATTTAGTACAGCCAATTCACCTAGCCTGCACATCTTTGGACTGTGGGAGGAAACCAGAGGAAACCCACGCAGACCACAGGGAGAATGTGCAAACTCCACACAGACAGTCACCTGAGGGTGGAATCAAACCCAGGTCCCTGGTGCTGTGAGGCAGCAGTGCTAACCACTGAGCCACCGTGCCGCCCCTTAAGCACCAAAGCATAAAACATGACATTCACACACAGAAACCGAGGTTGTTATTCCTTCAGCCTGAGATAAAGTTGACAACTCTGGTTAACACATGACTTCCTGTCTCCAACCAGCTGCCTCTACGCTCTTGTGATTGGTCACCTGATATGCCCATCCTGACAACACACCTTCCTCAGCCAATTTGAAAACAAGTAGACTCTTCATTGGTGAAAGACTTTGGACTGATAGTCAAAGAACCTTTTTTGCCCATGTTCGATATTTTTATAACTAGCTATCAAATCATTCAAAGAAATCTATGTCCTAAAAGTATAATATCCACTCTGCTCCCACCATGACAGGCAGAACACAGTTTGAGGATTAATTTGTTAAAAATAGGGAACCTGGCCTCCACCTATTACAAATTCCCTTCTTTTAGTTTAACAGTGGCATCTTGTGCCTTCCAATCCACTCTGGAGAAGCAGTCTTTATAATAAATAAATCGGGCTCAATGCCTTATGTACTGTCAACGCTTACAGAATAGATTTCCTGGACTCAGCAACGAGAGAAGTGGGAGCTATGAGAAGCAGTGGTCAGTGATTGTCTAGCACTGCTTCTGGGCCAAGAATACTCTCTGTACCCCTGTATCTTCCCAAGTCAACTTGCAACTGACTGCCTGCCTCCTCATAATTCAATCTCTTCTCCTGCATTTATCTGTAACTCCCATGATATATCCCATTTTTGATATCCCACTGCAATCTTTGTCTCTAATTTCTGCATCTTGATTGTTTTGTCTTCTCATGTTCCTATCTACAATGATCTCTTTCCTTCTGATCTCTCTGCCTGCAATTTGTTCTCCCTGCGTGATCTCTTCATACTGCTGCAATTTCTGTCTCCCAGTATGCTTTTCCACACTTGATTTCCACCATGCACTATAGACCCTCTCCCTCTGCCCCCAGCCGCCCCCAATCATTCACCTCTCGCAATCACCTCCTTCCACGTTCTCTCCATCCATCCCCTCAACTTCTCCCCTACGATTTCTCACTCCTCTCTGTCCTGCAACAGCCACCACACACTCCATGGCCCCTGTGCCTCTTACTCAGCCTCAATGTTCATGATTATAAAGAAATGTCATAATAATCAGCAAAGTCTACTGGAAGTGGTCAAGTATGGGGTTTCACCAAGTGTAGCAAATTCAGTGCCATACAGTTTCCGCAGACATACAATGTGTTAGTTGATCATTTTCTGAATTGTTCACCCGGCATTAAATCGTCCTTTCACTTGATCTCAGAAGCATCACTCCACCTGGTCCCCTCAGCAGTTGGAGTCTTATTCCATTAGATTCTCGTTTTTCATCTTACCCCTGCAGTTTGTACAAAAAAAGAACCCACTTTACAGCGAGATGAAGGAGGATACAGTCTGGTCCATGGAGCACTTGAATGACTATATTAATGAGCATTACATGGAAGAAATGGATCTGCCAAAGGACTGGGTCTTCACAGTTTTTGAGGTAAGTTTAATGTCCAACTTTTGCCTGGTTCTAGTTAATGGAACTCGATTATCTTGGGATCAGAGCAGTGAGGTACTGTTTCCTTGGTGGGTTTGTGCTTTCACTCAGGTTGGTTGTTTTTCATAATATTATTTCTGATCGACATAAACTGATGTGGAGCTGAGAACCTTCCACTATGTCCTCAGCAGGAGCTTGTCAGGAGTCAGGTCAGGGCATCCAGATGTCAAAACTCTAATGGTCCCAGCTGAGGAATCACAGTCATTTAGCAAAAGAGACCAAGCATACTGACTTACTCAATGGCAGTGGTCACCCTGGTGTGTTGGTCCCGGTTTGGATTATATCCTGGGCTCTCAATGAAAAATGACCCACAACGACAAAAACAGAAATTGCTGGAGAAACTCAGCAAGTCTGGCAGCGTCTGTGGAGAAAGAAACAGAGTTAACATTTTAAGTCCCGGGACTCTTCAACAGAGCCTGATCTGATGAGGAGTCAACAGACTCAACGTCAACTCTGCTTCCTTCCCACAGATGCTGCCAGACTTGCTGAGTTTCTCCAGCAATTTCTGTTTCTATTTCAGATCCCCAGCACCCACAGTTCTTTGTTTTACCTCAATGAAAACTGCATTGACCAAAGTTACTGTGGTTGCTAGGTAGAGTATCCCAATGCTCATTCCTTCCAAAACTTTACTGAGGAGGAGCAAAGCAGAGAGACAACTTCCAAGGAATACTGGGGAGATGTGTTGCCATCTATTTAGGGAGATCAAGTTAGTGTGGTAACATACACTTTTACATGGATTTTGTGGTCTGAAGCTATGAGTAGTGATCGTAGAGCAATTAGTTTCTCTCCATCACTGGCTGACTAGGAACTTTTCCCTCTCTTATACCCTGCCATTGCTGATCGGTGGAAGGATTTGCATTTTGATAACCATGGCTGCATTATGAATGTACCTTCCTTAACCATCAAGTCCTGGAGTGGGACTCAAACCTGAAACTTCTGGCTTCAAGATAGAGATGTTGCCCACTGCATCACACGACATCCCTCTCTAGTGCTGTAGATTTAAATCAGGATGTCGCCCGTGACCTTGTGAAGTTTGCTGGAGCTGTGGCAGAGATTCCTGTCTGGTGGCCTCTTGTTCAGAGTTTTGCCCCAAAGGCCTAGTCTTCCTCAGTCAGTTTTTATTAGTCAGCTAACAAATCAGATACACTTCAGTGGGAGATTTATTTGCAACAGGATTTTATTCTTCCAAGGAATAAACTTTTGATAATGCAATTGAACAGGGTTTTGTTTCTAGGCTCCATGGCAAGGCTTGCAGTTAATTAGTATGCAAATATAATTCCAAAAACAAGAAAATTGAGAAAGATGTGTCATTTAGTTGATGAGAAAAGATTAGCTTTTTACCTCTGAAAGTCAAGGTTCAGACTCAGCTGAGGAAGAAGATATTAACGTAGATCCTCCAATGTCACAGCGATTCAGAACGCAAATTTGAAGAACGGCACCTTATCTTCCACCTGGGCACCCTATAGCCCCAAGGATTCAACACTGAGTTCTCCAATTTCAAATAACCTTGCCACCCATCCCCTGGCTCCCCTTCCAGCCTCACCTCCTCCCTTCCATTCCAACTTCTGACCCTCCCTTCCAGCCACCAACCAGATTCATCCCTCCCATCGACCAACCAGGTCTTACCTACCACTAGTGTCCACCTATCACCACCTTTCTGCCCCCACCCCTTCTTCCCCCCTCCTTTATCTGCTGCTCCCTCTACCCCCACATTCAGCCCTGATGAAGGGTAATACCCAAAATGTTGACTGCTCCTTTCCTCCAGATGCTGCCTGACCTGCTGTGTTTTTCCAGCCTTCTGTTTGTCCACCTTGGATTCCAGCATCTGCAGTTTTTTTTATCTCTAGATCTGTTCACCAATGCCTGAGAAGAAAGTCATAAACCAATTTCAGTCAGTGTTAGTCCCATTGAAGTGGACAAACAGCATGCAGCCACTTTCAGAACAGCTAATCTGCACTCAGTAAAACTCCCATAAACATCAGTGTCATAATGGCCAGATAATCTACTTTGTGACATTGACTGAGGGATAAATATTGGCCAGGGCATGAGGGATAACTTCTCTGGTCTTATCATAGAATCACAGAACTGCTTCAGTATGAAGGGAGACCATTTGATCCATTGTGTTCATGCTCATTCTCTGCAAAAGCCATTACCTCTTCCCAACTTTACCCTGTAACCTTGCAATTTTTAAAAAAACTTCTAATAGTTATCCAATTCCCTTTCAAAAGCCTCAATTGAATCTGCTGCCACCATACACTCATGCGGTGTATTTCAGATCCTAACCAATTGCTGCTTATGTCACCATTGACTCCTTTGCTAAATATTTTAAGTCTGGTTCTGGATCCTTCTACCAATGGGCATGGTTCCTCCCTATCTGTTCTGTCCAATGCCCTTGTGACTTAGTTGCAATCACACTTTTGGACCTCTCTTTCATGCACTTAAGAGACAGTTGGAGCTTTGGTTCAATTAAAGGCAGTACCTCTGACTGAACAGGACTCCCTTTGTGTACTAAAGAGGCTGGATTAGCTGCTTAAGCCTCTGGAGTAGGCTTTGAATTATAACCTTCTGACTTAAAGATTAATTGGGAATCCCAAAAGGGAATGAAGAGGGTATGTGTGCGAAACAGAAATAAATTAAAATGTATTTTATAGTCTCGCTGGGTCGGGAAAATTAATCCACATAATTAAAAGCATCATAACCTCTTTGCAGAAGAGAATGCAGAAAATCATGCTACAATGTTTCTTCGCTGTCAAGGGAAAACTAGAATGCAAACTGGGCTACTTCAACCTTTTGGGCTGCGATTTTATAGTTGATCAAAACTTCAAGGTAATTGCAATTTCTTATCCTGTTCTGCTGTACAGTTTTGTTCATTATAAGAGTAAATGGATTGATGTTGGTCCATCAGTTTAAAAGGTTGATGTGAGCTGGCAGGTCCATGTAGATGTTTAGTTGATGGTTTTTGCGATCCATAGAATTGAGACGAAAACTTTACGTGTTGAACTTTTTCTCCCACGGACAAAGAATGTTGACATGATCCAATGGTTAAGTACCAAGACAGGAGAGACGATAGCCTAGTGGGTTAATAATCCAGAGGTCCAGGCTAATGCTCTGAGAATGAGAGTTCAAATTCTGCTATGGCAGCTAGTGGAATTTAAATTCCATCAATAAATCTGGAAACTAATCCCAGTCTCAGTGATGGCAACCATGAAACTATCATTGTTTGATACAAAAACCTATCTGTAAATATCTTTTAAGAGAAAGAAATCTGCGTCCTTAAGACCATGAGATAAAGGAGCAGAATTCGGCCATTTAGCTCATCAAGTCTGTTCCACCATGCGAACACAGCTGATATGTTTCTCAACATCATTCTCCTCCTTCTCCCTGTATCCTTTGATCCCATTACTAATCAAGAACCTATCTCTGTCTTAAATACACTCAATAACTTGGCCTCCACAGCCTTCTGCGGCAATGATTTCCATAGATTCACCACTCTCTGACTGAAGAAACCTGTTCCTCATCTCGGTTCGAAAGAGTCATCCCTTCACTCTGAAGCTGTGTTGTTGGGTCCTTGTCTCTGTTACGAGTGGAAACATCTTCTCCATGTCCATTCCATCCAGACGTTTTTGTATTCTGTAAGTTTCAATGAGGTCGTCCTTCTAAACTCCATCAAGTACAGGTCCAGAATCCTTAACTGCTCCTCATATCTCAAGACCTTCATCCCGGATCATTCTTGTAAATCTACTCTGGAGCCCTTCCAACACCAATAAATCCTCCCATAGATATGGGGCCCAAAATGCTCACAATATTCGAAATGAGGTCTGACTAGAGCCTTATGCAGCCTCAGCAGTACATCCTTGCCCTTATACTCCAGCCCTTTCAAAATGAATGCAACATTTCATTTGTCTTCCTAACCGCTAACTAAACCTGCATGTTAATCTTAAGAGAATCCTAAACCAGGAGTTCTAAGTCCCTTCAGATTTCAGATGTGCTTCAGGTTTAGTCATAGAACTGTACAGCACGGAAACAGACCCATCGGTCCAACTCGTCCATACCGACCAGATATCCTAAATTAATCCAGTCTCATTTGCCAGCATTTGGCCCATATCCCTCTAAACCCTTCCTATTCATATACCCATCCAGATGACTTTTAAACATTGTAATTGTACCAGTTTCCACCACTTCTTCTGGCAGCTCATTCCATACACGCACCACCTTCTGTGCGAAAAAGTTGCCCCTTAGGTCCCTTTAAAATCTTTCCCTTCTCACCTTAAACCTAAGTCCTATGTTTTGGACTCCCCTACCTGGGGGAAAAGACCTTATCTATTCACTCTCTCCATGTCCCTCATGGTTTTATAAACCTCTGTAAGTTCACCCCTCAACCTCTGACACTCCAGGGAAAATAGACACAGTCCTCCAATCCTGGCAACATCCTTGTAAATCTTTTCTGAACCCTTACAAATTTCATATCATCCTTCCTATATCAGGGAGCCCAGAACTGAACTCAGCATTCCAAAAGTGGCCTAACACTAATATCCTGTACAGCAGGAACATGGCCTCCCAACTCCCACACTCAATGCACTGATCAATAAAAGGTAAGTCTAACAAACACCTTCTTCATGTCCCTGTCTACCTGTGACTGCGCCTTCAACGAACTATGAACCTGCATCTCAAGGCTTCTTTGTTCTGCAACAGCTGCCAGGGCCCGACTATTAAGTGTATACATCCTGCCCTGATTTGCCTTACCAAAATGCAATACCTCACATTTATATAAACCGTATCTGCCATTCCTTGGCCTATTGGTCCATCTGATCGAGGTCTTGTTGTACTCTGAGATAACCTTCTTCATTCCAATTTTGGTGTCATCTTCAAACTTACTAACCATACCTCCTATATTCATATCCAAATCACTTATATAAATGACAAAAAGCAGTGGACCCAGCACCAATCCTTATGGCACACCGCTAGTCATAGGGCTCCAGTCCAAAAAGCAACCCTCCACCAACACATCCTGTTTCCTACCTTCAAGCCAATTTTGTATCCAAATGACTAGCCCTCCATGGATTCCATGTGATCTAATATTGCTCACCAGTCTACCATGCGGACCTTGTCAAATGCCTTGCTGAAGTCCTTATAGATGGTGTCCACCGCTCTGCCTTCATCAGTTTTTTTGTCACTTCTTCAGAAACCTCAATCAAGTTAGTGAGACACAATTTCCCACGCACATAGCCAAGTTGACTATCCCTAATCAGTCCTTGCCTTTCCAAAAACATGTAAATTCTGACTCTCAGAATTGCCTCTAACAATTTACCCATCACTGACATCAGGCTCACTGGTCTATAGTTCCGTGGCTTTTCCTTACCACCTTTCTTAAATAATGGCACCACATTAGCCGACCTCCAGTCTTCCAGCTCCTTACCCGTGGCTATCGGTGATAACAATATCTTAGCAAGGGGCCCAGCAATCACTTCCCTAGCTTCCCGCAAGTTTCTGGGATACACTTGATCAGGTCCCGGGGATTTATTTCCGAAGCCTTTCCCCATTTCGAAACAAGTCTATGTCTGTATTCTTCCTATCAAAGTGTACAACTTCACATTTTACTTCAACAGTCTAATTAGATCCTGAGTTAATTTGCATCACTACATGTGACACTAAATCCTCATGCATCAGTGCAGTTGACTCTTCTCTGCTTGCCTCATTAGGCAATCAACCCACTCCGTTCCAAGCCAGTTAGGGATGGGCAACAAATGCTGGCCTTGCCAGTGATTCCCATGTCCAATGAAAGAAAAAAAAGTGAAAATCCATTATGAAAAGATAATTTCATTTGGACGTGAGGTGTGGTACCAAATATTTGAAATTAACATCCTTGACAAGATGGATTTTTTTTTCCCTCCAGGTACAACTAAATGAGCAAGTACTATTGATTTTTTGTGGTTTAATTTCTCCTAAAAAGTGGGTTGATAAATATCTGAAGAGTAATGAGATTTGATTTTAGCAGGTTGACTTTTGAATAAGTTTATCAGATATTGTATGATTGGCTAATGCTGAGAGCTGACGACAAAGATTGAATCTTCAAAGCAAACTAATTTCTTCCACTTCATCAGCCTTGCTATATTTGTTACCCTCTGTCTATCCCACAAAGCTGAGGTTTAAAACACTCAGCAGCAGTTTTAAGATATAACCTAGGCTGGGACTTCAGTGCAGGACTATAAGTGTGTTGCACTGTGAAATGTGCAATCTTTTGGATGAGGTAAATCGAGGGGCCTGTCAGGGGCCTGGGAATCCCATTGCAAAGAAGTGCTGAGGAATCTCCTTCATATGTATTCCAAGCCGTGGGAGCAATGAATCTGGAATATTTGAATCTGAAGATGACAGACATAGATTAGGTTTCACTGAGACAGGGTCAGAGGTGAGCCATGTAATTGAGAGGCAATTTCACTTCAGGGTAAAAGGCAACACAATGTTTTGAAACATCTCCTGCTATTGACTTTATCAATAGCAGGAAATGGATTCGCTGGTAAGCAGACAAGCTGGTGCAGTTGTAGGTCAGGATGCCATCAGTGTACATGGGAAAGCCACCCCCATGTCTGCAGGCAATGTCACCAAGGGAAGGTCAAGGATAAATCCCTGAGGATATTGAAGGTAACTGCTATTGTTACTGAGTCTAGCTACTATCAGGAAAGTAGGCTTCAAACCATGTGAGGAACAACTTGGTGATCTGGAAAATGAAGGAAAGGTGTTGGAGGAAGATGATACAGTCAGGAGAATGGAAAGTGATCAGTACCAACGGCACAGTCACGGACGGTGGCATTTTGCAAATTTGCTAAGGATCTTTGCAATGCTGCAAACAATGGAAATCTGATTGGACAGATTCAAACATGGATTTGGGAAGGAGCAACAAATTCAAAAACTTGGAGAAGAAAAGGGTGATTGGAGTGCGGATGGTTGTTTGTGAGAATGGAGGACTTGAATTTGAACTTTGAGGAGAGTCCCTAGTTGTTGGTTTCATTACAGTGCAGACAGTGCTGAGGGGAGCAAACCATTTATAATGCCGACTAGCATGGGAGCCAGGAAAGGTTGGTCAGCAGTACTGTGGGTTTACAGTTGAAGGAATGCAATATGGTTCACATGGACAAGATAAGCTCAGGGAGAGCATGACAAAAAATATGAGCACAACCAGAGAAAGATGCATGTTTAGGGCTAGGGTGGGAAGGGGGCTGAGTATCTGAGGAGGAGAGTAATAGCTTAATGAGCAAGAGAATGGGGAGAGTAGCATACAGCAAGAGCAGCTGACAGGAGATTTTGTTCTTACTAACAAAGCCCATGAACTTTTCAAGCTTGTTGGAGATCACAAATGGGAAAGGAAGACAGGTTAATGAAGATAATCAGTAATAGAGTCAAGAAGCTAGGGCTTGTCTTTGGTCTCAACAACTTGAGAAATCTGATATTAGAATATGAGAAGTAGCAGTTTGTTCCACCCTGATTTCCCAAATAGAACAGCAATCACAAAAGTTAGATTGGAATGAAACACCTTCAAGTTGTTTCAACATTCAAAGTTGTACTGTGATGCACAAAATGCATCAAAAACAACATGCACTGTTTAAGGTGGACGTGTTTGGCATTGCTTGGGGAGGTGACGGATTAATGGTATTATTGCTAGATTATTAATCCAGTGACATGGTAATAGTCTAGAGATCTGGGTTCAAATCCTGCCACAGCAGATGGAATTTGAATTCACTAAATATCTGGAATTAGTAATCCAATGATTAACCTGAAACCATTGTCAGTTGTCAGGTTCACTAATGTCCTTTTGGGAAGGAAACTGCTGTCCTTACTTGGCCTGGCCTACGTGTGACTCCAGACCCATAAAAATATGGTGACACTTAACTGGCCTGTGGACAATTAGGGATAGGTAATAAATGCTGGCCTGGCCAGTGACATCCATGACCAGTTAATGAATAATAAAAAAATTGTTTGCTTATTTATTGAATTATCAGCTTTACAGGCCTTTGGGTTTCTTCAACAACGAATGGGAGTAATAATTTGTTGGTTCTGGCGGCTTCATAGCTGTTGCCTAGCAGTCCCCAGCCCAATCAGATACATACACAGGGCAGTATCTAATGCTGTTGCTTATTTATTTGGATCACATTGTTGTATGTGAAACGTTGCACAATGGGTTCTCTCATCATGTAATTGAAAGGGTGGGAAGGGAATGGCAGGAATGAGAAATGGAGCCCTCTCATCTTCCAGCTAATTGCAGCTCAAGGCATTGGTATGTGAACAGTGCTCAGTGGGTAGTCCCAGAGTGCAATGAAGGATGATATCAATTCGTACATTGACTCAAGCTCAGAATCCCAATAGCCTTTACGGAAATTGTGAATTAATCTATAATTAACTATCACTAACAAATCTTGAGAATCTCCCTCAACGCTGACCCTCCAACGGTGCGGTGCTGCCTAAGCGCAGACCCTCTGATAGTGCAGGACCCCCTTCAGCGCTGACCCTTTGACAGTGCGGTGATCCCTCAGCGCTGACTCTCTGACAGTGAGGTGGTCCCTCAGTGCTGACCCTCCGACAGTGTGGCGCACCCTCAGTACTGACCCTTTGATGGTGTGGTGCTCCCTCAGTGCTGACCCTCTGACATGACATGTTCCCTCAGCGCTGACTCTCTGACAGTGTGGCGCTCCCTCAGCACTGATCCTCTGACAGTACAGCACTATCTCTGCGCTGACCCTCTGTCAGTGCAGCACTTTAGCCTGGTAATTTCTGAGAATCTAATTTCACTACTGAGATGTTAATCATGGTGGTGAAAAGAAACAGCAATTCAAGGGCCTTCACACATGGTCCCAGAAATTCCAACCAGACCCAGTAATGAAGAGCAAGGCTGATTCAGCAAAGGGGCACTGAGATTCAAATAAAAACCAAAAGAACTGCGGATGCTGTAAATCAGGAACAAAAACAAAAGTTACTGGAAAAGCTCAGCAGGTCTGGCAGCATCTGTGAAGAAAAATCTGAGTTAATATTTCGGATCCGGTGACCCTTCCCCAGAACTGTTCTGAGGAAGGACCCGAAACATTAACTCTGATTTTTCTTCACTGATGCTGAGCTTTTCCAGCAACTTCTGTTTTTGTTGCCGGGACTGGGACTCAAGTGGTTTGGCAAGTTGTTGTTCATGAGAACAGTGCCCCTTTAAGGCCGTTGAAAAATTACATGGCTTTTTTCTAAGCACTAAATTGTCAGGGAGGCAATGGCCTCATGGTGTTATCACTAGTCTGTTAATCTCAAGACCCAGATAATGTACTGGGATCCCAGGTTCAAATCTCACCATGGCAGATGGTGGCATTTGAGTCCAATAAATATCTGGAATTCAGTGTTTAAATGATTATCATTAATCCATTGTTGTAGTAACCTATCTGGAATGCTAATGCCTTCTTAGGGAAAGGAAATTGCCATCCTGGCCAACTTGTGACTTCAGCTCACAGAGATGAGGCTGACTCCTAACTGCCCTGTGGGCAATTAGGGATAGATAATAAATGCTGGTCTGACCAGTGACATCCACAATCGGTGAAGGAATAATTTAAAAAAAAGATGCTCAAGAAAAGCATGCAAGTTATAACTGAAAATTTGACACTAAAGATAAATATTGTGAATATTGGAAGTTTGGAAAAGAAACTGAAAGCCCTGGAAATACTCTGCTAGTTCCCACAGCCTCCATGGAGATGTTATTCTTTCACTGGAACCACCAGAATTTCCTGCTTTTAGTTGAAAAGTAGAAATGTACATTGTTAACAAGGAAACATTTACAATCAGCATATTCCAAAAGTATAGGTATTAGGACAGAAAATAAAAAACATTTTAGTTATGAAGAATTATGTAAATATGAAAATTATTTAGTACTATCTAGCGGACATTTAAAATTTGAGCAAATCCTGAAGATTATTTGCAAACTGATTTGCTGATATTATGAAAAATCGTGAATGATATTTTCTAGGTGGTAAATAAAAGAGATGATTGACTGGTAAGTATACAAGTTCCATTTTCTAACCTTTTTGCTTTGTGTTTATTCCATTTGACATGATTCTCATCAGCTTCAGTCTCACTGTTCACTGTCTCTTCTGTGCACAAAAAGTGACAATTTGGCTTAAGTCCATGCCCACTATCTATAGATCAATACAATCAGTCAGTCTTATTCTCCCCACCCCACTGCATTCCCCTTTTTAGATAATTTCCTTTTGAAAATTGCCATTACATCTGCTTTTGCTATCTTGTCATGCTGTGCATTCCAGATCATAACTGCACCATAAAATTTCTCCCCTGGTTCTTCTGCTAATGATCATACATAGGTACCCTCTGCTTACCGATAATTCCTGCTCATTGATACATTTAATCCTCACTTACTGTAGGGAAATGCCTCAACTTTGAACACCTCTATTAAAACCCTTAACCTACAATTCTATAAAAAAAGAACAATCCTAGTAGTGCACTGGTATGATTGGAGGTGTTAGTTAAGCCATCAACAACATCTTTTTACCAAGACTCTGCCATATAAAGAAACTGAATCACTCAAGGATGATCTGGAGCGTATCCTGATGAATTCTTGGAAACACAAACAGTAAGCAGAAGCCACCAGGTTTAGTGTCCATTTCCTAATCTCCCACTTCACCCCACAACAGGTTGATTAATGAAACAGGAATCCACCTATCTGAATGTTTGCTGAAAGAAGAGGACGATCCAAGGAAGGTTATCAAGCAGGTCAAACAGCTCAAGAGCTGCTGTTTGCACATCTGTTAGTAGCAATCATTTGCTTTGGCAGATGGACAGTATAGGCATCTCTTGGCTGAGGAAGCTTATATAATCGATATGGTAGCATCACTCAGACACTCAGATTAACCAGAAGCATAACAAGTTATAATTGTCAGTAGATCTAATAAATATTGTTAAAATGCATGCACGAAACACCCCTGATGTTCTGGCCAACAATCCCTCAACCAACAACACCCAAAATTGCACCAGTTCTTTAATGACATTTGTTTCTATGATTATCTCAATAACCACGGATTTCAAAAAGTAAGTTAATTAATTGTGACATCCTTCACTGCAGAAGGCTACTCCTTACAAGACCAATGTGATCTTCTCCCATTTCTACATGAATGACATTTTCATTTTCAAAAAATTGAGTGATTTCAGAATTGAATTAATGCAATGATCACTAGGCTATGGATAGTGATTCTAAAAACTTGTAATGAACCTAACAGCCCATACAGAATGGGAATGTAATTGAGCTGAATTTGAACTCAGATCGTAGAAATGGAAGACCACTCAACCCAAGTCACCACCCATTGCTGTGGAAACTAAAGATGGAAGGCATACAGATGGATTAACAGTTCTGTGTTTGATCTGTTCATCAGATTTGGTTACTGGAGATGAATGCCAATCCGTCCTTACAGAGACACTGTGAGGTTCTCAAAACAGTCATCCCTAATTTAGTGTACGAAGCTCTTGGTAAGATGGTTATTGCCTTCATTATGTTTTTTTCAGAAGGTGATTTGTGGCAACTATTGACATTTACTTCATTGCTTGGAAACTACTGCTTTCATAAACAATCAAATGGTCGCATTCAACCAAATTCATTTCTCTTCTCAGATGTGGTACTTGAGATATTCAAAAAATGCAGTAAAGGATTGCATGTCTTGCCACTTCAGTCACAAAAAGAGTTTGTTCTGATATACAATGGGGATCATCAGGAAAAGCTTACAAGGTCTATCCCTAGGATAGAAAGCAATGCATCATCAACCATTCTTAAACAACCTTGCCATGTGGCTATGGGTTCTGTAAAATGCACTGAGAACAATCCCATGCAAAAGTCTATGGCTTCTTCAAATCCTGTAGTTGCTTCAGCAAAAATGCTTCAGAACAAACTTTCTTTGGTACCTTACACAAAGCTGCCAGTCATTTCACTAGCAGGGAAACAGAGTACATTGAAGAATAACTTTCCAGCAAATCTCCAACTCGCTGTAACCTCCTCTGGTGAACAGGATCAACTAAACTTCAACAGAGATATAGGTGCTTTCAGAAAAATACCAATGACCAGACAGTTAAAACCCTTAGTCACCAAGAATCTACATTCTAGTTCCCAACCACGGCAAATGAGCAATTCCTTGTTGGTCAGGAGTGCCTTTCACCCACGGTACATCAACACGATGGTTGCAAAATCATCTGAGGTGAAGATGAGCTCCAAAGAGAACAAAACACCATCTGGTGATGCAGTCTAGTCAGCTATGATAAGAATGGAAAATCACAAGGACTACATATCCATTAAGTGCCAACTTAGTGTCTGCTTGGCCAGAGATTTTTTTTTTTAAATTCTGACCATCGTCTTAAAGGAAAATAAGATTCCATGCTTATCAATATGATCTCACTGAAGTGCGTAAGATGTTACATATGATAGATTTTCATTTATAATCGCAAGTACATCAACAGAAAATATCCTTGATTGGAATGTATTGGTTATATATTTTGTGGAATAAAAGGAACTTCTTTCATGTTGTCATTTTTTTCATTCTAACCTAAGCATACTGGGCTTCTCACTCCCCTGCCTTACCTTAAATGCAAATTTTACCTTATTCAGCTGCAAGAAATCCACCCAATTCAATGAAGACTGCTTTCACCGACATTAACGCATGCGCTACTCACGGCTTGAATTTGCTCATGTCCATTTGAAAGATTTGGAGGGACACAGCTCGGGACCCAGGAGGGGTGGAGGGGACATGGCCTGGAAATCAGGAGAGAGAGGTGATGCAGCATGGGTTCCAGGAGAAAGGGGTGATGCAAGATTCATGAGAATCCCTCCCTCCTTCTCCACCCCTTCCACCTTGCTCTTTATCCCCCCTTCTAGCCCCTTTCAACCCGAATGAGGGCAGTCCAACACTTCACTTCCATGCCCCTCTGCCTCCCCCAAACACACACACAGACATGCACTTTCTGTCAGTGATGTACCAGTCAGTTCACTCATTCACCTTTCAGCCCCTGCTTTTGTAGGAACAGGCTGCAAGAACTTTGAACATTTTAGACAAGTGTAAGAGCTGAGACTCCTCCACTTCAACCTTCTCCATCTTTATATCCAGCTCACTCATGGTCCCTGACAATTGACTATATCAGAAGATACTATTCTAAGAGATTGGACCATTTACTGGAACAAAGTGTCCAAATAACCTTCCAACAACTTGATTTGTAGCAGCGTCTGCAGCTCAACTTCTGATTCAATGACTCTGAGCCAAGATTCCTCCATCCATAGACACTTACTATACAAATATTTTCCTTGGTTTTCTCAGTGCTGTCCAGGAGCTCCCACATTCTGGAGTCACAATACATCACCTGCCCTGACATGTTTATTGTGTTTAATTGATTATTTACTAATTCATTAGTAATTCGCATCCTAACAGTACTGTGGGTGTACCTACGCCCCAAGGACTGCAGTGATTCCAGAAGACAGCTCACCAACATGTTCTTGAAAGCAATAAGGGAGGCAATAAATGTGGACCTAATGAGTGACACCCACATCCCAGGAATGAATAAAAATAAAATATTTTATTGAATAAATTTAATGTCTTTAGTCTTACCTGTGCTTTAATTCTTATTATTTCAATGGAACAAATTGAAATATCAAACAGGATGTATAGGAAACACACACCAGCCAAATACTACTAATTTAATTAAAATGTTGTCATTATTAAAATTAACTGAGGTTTGAAAGATAATTGAGAAAAATACTCACCAATCAACTAACGGTCTTCCTGTGACAGCACATTTGACTTTCGTAGAACATTGTTGGTCCCCTCTGAAGACATAGACAGGACTGGACTGACTGCCTGTCAAACGGTCCTCCTCTCACCACTACTCGAGATGCTGGTGAATGTATTGGTGTCTTCTTCTCACGCATTCCTCTAGGTTCTGCAGACTGCCTGGCTCGTGATCCTCCTTCTGCCCCCTCTAGGTGCTGGTGGCTATCTTGAGGATCCTTTTCTCACCTGCTCATCTAGATGTTGCTGACTGCCGTCTTTGGGGAAACTCCCCTCACCTGCTCCCGTAGGTGCTGCTATCTGTCTCAGGGTCCTCCTTTGGTGTGCTCCTCCAGATACTTCTGCCTTTTTTGGGGTTGCCCTTCTCACCTGTTTCTCAAGGTGCTGTTGACCATCTTGATGACCTCCATAAGTATTTTGTGATGGGGAACCATGTCTACTCTAGTGCCATGGGCGAAATGGTTGCCTGAACTTCCATGATGATGACAGGCCTTACAGAACAAGAAAGCCTTCGGGTACAGTCTACAGTTTTTTTTTGATGTTAGTCAAATCAACAGTCAAACACTGAGAGCATCAATGAATGAGGCTCGGATTCCAGAGGAATGCAAATGAGCTGCATTCCTGCTGCTTTTCACTCATCAGTGACATCTACTGGAAGGAGGACATGGTGACAATATGGTAAGGGCAGTGAATTTCATTATGTGGGCACTTCTCCCTCCTCTTTATGATTGATACCCTGTCAATTCCCATTGTTTCTGCTCACTTGTACATGAACAATGAACAGCTGGGTGTAGTATCAGTAGGCAGTGTGTACCTAAATCCTAGTCTGGGTCAATGCCATCAGTAGCTGAGGCTAAAGGATTAACTGATGAATAAACACTGCACCAAAATTACAAGGTTTAATATACAGACAGTCCCTGGCTTACAAATGGGTTCCATTCTGGAGTCTAGTCACATTTTAATTTGTATGCAAGTCCAAACAATTGCAGGACAATGTAAAACATCTGTTTTTAAGTACAGGAAATGTTTGTATGTCAGGTCTTTAAAATTAAACTCCTGTGTCGGGTCGCATTCATAATTGCGAGTATTCATAAGTCAACGACACCTAAATAACATAATTACAATAGAATATGCCTGGTTGAATAGTCATATAGATGCATCTGTACCTTGCAATGAAGCTTCAGCATACTAAGGAAATGATAGAGCCGTAGAAATTGTTATATTGAAAGACTGAAATTTAACTAGTTTGCCTTCAGCCATCCTGGTTGTTGTAAGAAAGAACAAAAGTGGAGTTGAATTATCATCCAAAAATACAACATAACTGGCAGAAGTAACACTTCAAATAAGGTTGTGTTTTGTCAGCCTTTGCTAAATTAGCTGGTCTCATCCATAGCACAGTTCAGGACATTTTCTGAAGAATGGTCTAGGCCCGAAACGTCAGCCTTCCTGCTCCTCTGATGCTGCTTGGCCTGCTGTGTTCATTAAGCTCTACACCTTGTTATCTCAGGACATAACAACCCTGATTTTCTGCTTCCTCAACTCTGTTGAGTATCAATACATTTTTATTCAAGTTTTAATCTCTTGACTTCAGCTACTAGGACCCACTGAGCCATACCAGGATGTAGGCACCGCCCACCTGATACCTGACACAGCTAGGCTGGCCATTGTTCATGTGTGAGGAGAGACATTGGTCATTTAGTGACACCTACTGAAAGGGCCATGCATGTGAACATCAGCCCAGTCAAATGGGCTGCTGACACTCGCAATGTCTTAAAGGTTTTGGCTTAAACACAAGCAATTGACCATTTAGACAAGGTACCAGAGGCTTGCCAGAATCTGCAGCCAGCAGGAATCACAGAAACACGGGTGAGCTGCCTTAGATATTCTGTTCATTGGAATCAAAGAATTGAAAATTATTTTGCTCTCCTTACTAGTTGCAGCTGAGGTCTTCTTTTTTCACAGAGAGGGTGATGAAACCTGGAACTCACTTCATCCTAAAAACTGCAGAATTTAAATTCTCTCATAAAGTCATACAGTCATGGAGTCATACAGCACAGAAACAGACCCTTTGAACAACTCATCCATGCCAATCAGACATCCCACTCTGACCTAGTCCCATTTATCAGCATTTGGCCCATATCCCTCTAAACCCATCTTATTCACCTACCCATCCAGATGCCTTTTAAATGTTGTAGTTGTACCAGCCTCCACCACTTCCTCTGGCAGCTTGTTTTATACACGCATCACCCACTGTGTGAAAAAGTTACCCCTCAGGTCCTTTTTGAATCTGGTGATAACCTGATGCAAAGTAGAAATATGTACACTGCCCTTTCAGAAGCTAACTCCTGAAGCTTTGACTGAGTAGCCTCCTGTACTGTAAAGTCCAATGCTTTGCTTTGTGTTTCACATAGCATCATTGTTAAATTGATTAACAAAGAAAGAACAAAGAACAGTACAGCACAGTACAGGCCCTTTGGCCCACGATGTTGTGCCGAACTTTTACCCTAATCCTAAGGTCTATCTAACCTCCACCCAGAATAATAAAGAAAAAAATAAATCTCCTGATCATTTAGTATATAAACAAAGAATGCCATTGGTTTGGAGCAGGGAGGACCGCCACGATATGTTTAAAATTCAGTTCAATTTTTAACCAGGATTTCCTTTAATTACAAACCACACATGCCTAGAACAGCCATACAAAGCCTAGAAAGGGATTGATCAATCAGGGCTCCTGATCCTCATTCCTCTCACTGCTCAGTGACCCTGGTCAGAAAGTGCAAGGATGCTGATGTCAGATGAGGAAGGGATTAGGTTTGCAATCAATATCCTTTCCTTAAACAGGCCCTACGCACACACAGCTTGTACCTGCAGTCCTAAATCATTGTTTGTGACAATCTCCAGGGGGCTACATTTCAGAGGTACCTCATTGGTTGTGGAATTCTTTGAGATATCCTGAAATAATGCAAAGTACAATCTAAATGCAAGGTCTTTCTTCACTTCTTTCTACGATAAGAAATTAAAAATGTCAGTCTTGAAAAACGCTCATATTAATTTGCTCTTATAATCCCTGTGCACCTGCAGCCCAGAAAAACCCAGTGATTGATGATCCCAGATCCCATATAGCTCCTTCACCAGCACCTTCCAAACCCATAGGCTGTACCATCTAGAGGGACTACAGCAGCAGGATGCATGGGAGCACCATCAACTGCACGTTCCCCTTCAAGCCACATAGCATCCTGGGAACCATCACAGTCGCTTTGCTGTCAGTGGGTCAAAATCCTGAAACTCCCTTCCTAGGAGCACTTTGGGTTAGCCTACGTACCAAGGAGCAGTTTTAACAAGCAACTCGCTCCACCTTCTTAAAGGTACTTAATGATAAACAATAAATGAGCAACACTCACATCCCATGAATGACTAAAAGGAATTTCACAAAGGATCTGTCACTCCCCTCATATTAGCTATCTGCATGTTATAATGCAGTGTTGACATCACAGTAGGCCTTGCTGTGTTGAGTGCATGCATGTTTTTTACCCTTAATCTTCATTGGCA